CAACATCACAGTTTCTAAAACTGATTCAGCGTTTGAATGTAATTTTTGCAAACGATGGGTGCACTGCCGTTGTGACAAAGAAGTACCGAAAGCATACTATGAGTTTATGAGAAATAACCCATGCCCATGGTTTTGGTACGTGTGTCCACTTTGTCGCCCTGGCATAGTCCCACAAAGCGTGTCTGCGGATAGCAGAAATAACATGCTCTTGTGCCCCAACACAGTATCATGCAGCTCCCCCCTGCTAAACTCGCACTGCCGAAACTGGTCAAAGACTTAAAGAAGGACACACCAGCCCTACTGACTGGAAATGCCAATTCTCACAAGGTGAAGATTAGCAAGGTTCCATCCACAACAGGGGAGGGCAAAATTACAAAGGCACCACTTGCATCCACTAGCAAGCCTGGCAACACAAAAAAGGCTGTCCAGGTACCGACGAAGCCTAATGTTGCTAATGATGCAAAGGACTGCAAGAAGCCGAAGGCAAAACCTAAGTCTGAGGGTAGTCGGTCTAACTCTCTCATCCTCTTTAACGTACCTGTGAGCACGGATAGCTTGCTCGAACAACGGGCCCTGTTTGATCAGGAACAGTGGTCCAACCTGTGTGGCAAACTAGGTCTGAACATTAGTTCAGCAAAACTGTGCAGACTGTACAGGGGTGTCCACACGCCTCAGGGTAAGCCACCCCCATTACGGGTTACACTGGACTCAGCCGAAGAGGCCGAAAAAGTACTGCTAATGGCTCAGGTACTAGCCCTGGACAGAAGTTCTAACATAAGAGCGCGGCAAGATAGACCATGGGCCGTCAGAAATATGGCGAGGGAGTCACCGGAACTGATGCCTTCCACCTCTATGGTGGTACACGGTGTTCCGGAGCTGGAAACCGGCACTGCTTGTGAAAAACACATGCACGACGTACAACAATGGAGATGGCTGTCATCTCAGATGGCCCCTGGCGCTTCTGGAGCCATCTCCATTTTCCGACTACCTCGTCCCGCTCATCTAACATTGATTAACTCTCCAAAGCTGCTGTGTGTCACATTCAACTCCCCGGAGCAGTTGTCCATATCACTTCAACGGTGGTATGAGACCAAGGGAAAAATTGGAGGACACATCCGATGCTGTGAAAGCAGACCCAGAAATATAAGGAGGCAGCAAACTGAGGCTTTAATACGACCCCAAGCTTCGGTGACACTAGAGCGATGCAGCTCTGAGAATAATAGTCTGTGTCTCCCAAGTGTCCTGCCTAAATCCATTGAAAAAAACTACAACGGGCCGGTTCTATCGGAATCGGCCAACTAGTTCCAACATCAAGTCCCCCACCAGCAGACGGTTTCACGTCAACTACCCCACAACACTCTGAGGTTGTTAGACTCACTGTCAGTTGCCTATATAGCAATGTGAGGGGGCTGAGAGGGAAAGTAGGTGAACTTCGAAATCTCCAAGCGCACCTTCAACTGAAAATAATCATTCTCACTGAAACGTGGCTAAACCCCACTATCGCCGACAATGAAATCAGTATAGGTGATATGGTACTGGTCAGGAGAGACAGGGATAATAAGGAAGGAGGGGGAGTTGCTATATACTTTGATAGGCAACTTAAATGTGTGCGCGCAACGGACCCACCACTTATCGAACTCCCAGACTCCATATGGTGTCATTTCACCGTAGGCCACACCAAGCACTTACTGGGTGGCATCTACCGATCTCCCACCTGTGGGGCAGAGCACAATCAGCTACTGCTCAGCACTATCACAGGAATACGAGATTTGGGCTACGACCAAATCACCATAGCTGGAGATTTCAATGCTCCATCACTGAACCTTGGCTCCGGGTGTGCTAAGGGAAAATTTGGCCGAAACCTACTGCAAACTATTCGAAACACGGGACTGACTGAGAATGTTGGAGACGACACTAGGTGGGGCCCTAGTGGAAAGTCATCAAAACTAGATTATATTCTAACTAGTGACCAGCTACTCGTCGAAAAGGTCCAGATCATGACTCCTCTGGGAAGCAGTGACCATGCAGTCATAGGTTTCGATCTTGTCCTCCGTGAGCGTTTGCAATGGGATGTTACGCGACCATGTCTGTGCTACAGCAAGGCTGACTATGCTGAAATGCGGAGGCTCTTGTCCGACGCAGACTGGCCCTTAGCATGGGACGACCTATCTGTGGATGAACACTGGGAAGTGGTAAAAAAGATTATCCATGCAGCAATCTCGGATACCGTCCCTTTAGTCACAACACAGCCTAAGAGAAAGACGTCATGGTTGAAGAGAGGCACGCAACGTATTCTGCAAGCAAAGCGGAGGGCTTGGTTTACGTGGCGTGTATCTAAGAGTCAGACCGACCATGATGCATACCTCGAACTCAGGAACCGGTGTAATGCAAGAGTTAGGAGGGACAGAAGGTCATTCCAGGCTAACCTTGCTAAAAAACTCCTATCAAACCCTAAAAACTTGTACCGATTCATGTCGGAAAGAAAACCGACAAACCAAGGGGCATGCGCCTTAGTAGGCCCAAACGGTCAATATCTCACTAGTCTGGAGATGGCTGAAACATTCAGTTCAGCCTTCGCTAAACAGCTAAACAGCAATGTGGATATTACAGTTACGGACCAAAATGGTGGCACCACTATTTCAGAGGAGGAAGACCTAGCGACTACTCCCCAAATAAACCCCGCAATAGTACTAAGGAAGCTACAGCGACTCATACCTGGGAAGTCCCCAGGTTGTGATGACATCAGGCCATCTGTTCTGAAACAGTGCGCCGAGGCTCTCTGTAGACCCCTGTGCGACTTGTTCCAACACTCAATGGATTCGGGGACCCTGCCAAGGGAGTGGAAAAGAGCCATCCTTTCTCCGATCTTCAAGGGTGGGGACAGGCAAAACGCTGCTAGCTATAGACCAGTAGCTCTACTCCCAGTGGTATCAAAAGTACTGGAAAGTATTATTGACGACCACATCAGGGAATATTTCGATAGGACTAATATACTGCATGAAGCCCAACATGGTTTCAGAAAAGGCAGATCCTGCGTCACTAACCTACTGTCAGCTTGGGACGACTGGACATCATGCTGGGACTTGAACGTACCAGTCCATGTGGTCTTCCTAGACTTTGAGAAGGCGTTTGACACTGTTCACCATGACCTTCTCCTACATAAAATAAGACAGGCAGGCATAGGTGAGCCACTTCTGTCATGGTTGAAGGACTACCTAGCCGACAGGCAATTTTGCACTAAGGTTAACCGAGTCCGATCATCTTGGCACAGATCGTCATCAGGAGTGTCGCAGGGTTCTATCCTAGGACCACTGATGTTTTTGATTTTCATCAATGATCTACCACGCCGTCTGAGCTGCCCGACTCTCCTGTACGCTGACGACGTAAAAATATGGAGGGCGATAAAGTGTCCGGAGGACTCAGATAGGCTACAGGAAGACCTAAACCTTCTGGAAGACTGGGCGGTGGCCAGTGGCATGACTTTCAACTTGAAAAAGTGCAAAGTAGTGAAGTTGCGCACCTGTAGACTGCAGAATGCAAGTTACACCCTGTGCAATGAAAGCTTGTCCTGCACAACGTCGGAACGCGACTTAGGTCTAGTTCTAACGGAAAAAATGGACACAAGCGTAAATTACACAGGGGATGTAGCGAGGGCATATGCGGTCATACACTTTACGCATAGACAGTTAGGTGCACTCACTCCTGAGCTCTTTCTAATGTTGTACAAAACATACGTCAGGCCACACCTTGAGGTGCATAATATTATTGCACCCCCAATGCTGAGAAGAGATGCCAACCTCTTGGAAAGAGTCCAACGACGGGCAACAAAAGGAGTGGTTGGTCTCCGAAACAAACCATATGATGAAAGGCTGAAGAAATTAGGCCTGTTCACACTTAGTTACCGTCGGCTTAGGGGGGATTTGATTACTGCCTACAAAATAACAAATGACCAGAATCACCCAAACAAAGGTGTTCTGCCATTGAGTAGGTATAGGCTTCCACGTGGAAATCCCAGAAGGATAGCTCACCAGAGGGCAAGGACCCGGGTGCGCTCCCACTTCTTTTCACTGCGGGTTTGTCGTCCCTGGAATTCCTTACCGGCAGATGTAGCTATGGCACCGTCTTTGGACGCCTTTAAGCGAAGGCTGGACAACCATGCAGCTATACAAGGACTGCATCCAAATGGCCTATCTCCTTAAAATCGCATTTACCAATCAGGGTAGATAATTAAACTCGTCATTTTACTTCTTTACATTCTCTCCCGTCTTACTCTCCTGACAACTTATTAATATTATAATTACTATTATTATTATTACTATTACCGATATATATATTATTCTTCAAACTTCATGAGCTGACTGTTGTTACGTTTCCTATTTTCGTTTCTGTCTCTTAGTCTGAATAGCTTCACTAATTATATCTATTATTATTATTACTATTATTATTATTATTACTATCTCTTTTCTCTTGTCGACAATACCGAAGGACTAACTGGCGAAAGGATCAACTCCAATCACAGTAGTAACAGTCTTAACATACCTCATACTACAAACCACATATAATTAATCCCAGCACTACTCCCTTTGGAGTCAACCAAAGCTACGACAGTCGAGTGGCGGGACAAGCTACGCAGAAGTTTACCGAAGATCAAGAACCTATACCTCACAATCAAGAGGCGAGCACAAAGAAATCAAATTGGTTTATACTAGCTCGTAAAAACGATATTGGATATTGGAAGCTGCCATTCACTTGCACTTGCTGATATTTTAGTAGAGGAAGACTATATTTATGAGGAAAAGGTAGAACATTACAATGTATTTCATATGCTTGGGAAACTTAAAGTAGCGTTGTTTAAACCTGTCAATTTCATGCACAGTTTTCAAGGCAACGATAACACATACAGCGCTTTGTACGAATTATGAGGCTTAAGGATTTAAATTAGTATGCTTCACTGTTTCAGAAATTAAATGAATACACAATAGCCTACTGTAAACAAAAGAATGGAAGCTGACCAGGACTTAAAAGTAAGTATTTCCATTTCCCTCTATTGTATATGCAATAGGTTTATAGTTAACACTACGTTGATAGTGATTCATTGTATTGTTTTCGTTTTAAAATCTTGTGTTTTGCCAATGTTCCTATTGTTTCCATTTAATAGAGATTTAAAATAAATGATTCCACTCACACTTCTCACAATGCTGTATAGTACACTTCATTTCGTGGTCTGCATTCCATGCCAATAAAAGTCGTAACATCTACCTTAATTGCCTCAAACACGTTTTCACGTTGTTGAGATTTCAGGATCTAAACTCGTAAATATTTTACCTGAACGTAATGTTTCTGCAGAGACATTATTTTTGTCTTTATATATATTGCATGACTGGGTGAGTTTTACAGAGATTATGCAGTTTACAAACATTAAGTTGCATTGTTGTAGAGGTGTAAGTGTATGCGACCAGAGGTTACATTATGACATACTCTCACTATCAGATATTTAATGACCTCACTGTGTTTTTGACATGACTTCACTCGTTTCGTTGTGAGAAATGTTAGTGTAACGGTCTATGACATATTTTTTCCTGAAGTATATAGAGATTTTAGGCGTCCTCGTCTTATTTTGTTTTGTTTTTTAAATCTTCATATGATGTGGACTTCTGAGTCTTCGTTCTTCAGTTTGCTATACGAAAAGAAACCATGATGTGGATATCCCGTTACAATCCTTTCATTAAATATATTTCTCCTTTAAGCGTTTACCACTTGCCGTGGTAAGAGTTCCAGTTGACGACCACCCCATGTGGGGATATGAATTACGTCACTGGTTATTCAGTTGCATTTTAAACACCTTCTTATGATAACCTAAAGGAAATATCATGAGAAAATTCCCCTTAAACACTTAAAGGGGTTAATGGTCAAGTCACCGTCTAGTAAGGGATACCTGAACTCCCCATAAGAACGATGTAGAGTCCCTGTAACTCTTTTCAAGCCTTATGTCTACTTCTTGAGGCATGATAAGGCAATATGTATGTACTTGGCAAGATGAAACCCAACATCCGTTGAATAGATTACCTCAAACATATTCTCGTTCAGGCATTTAAGAGCCCTTCAAAGCGTCCACAGCGTTTTGAAGGCCATAACGTGAATTTGGCCTTACTCGAATGGCAGTTAGTTTCTATGTTGTTAGTACCCGCAATTCCTGAAACCATCGGTTTCTTGATGTCAAACGATTCTATCCCTTCCCAAAAGGTATAAAACATAAAATTTCTGACTTGGATGCACGAATAGACTTTTTACAAAATAAATTTCCAAGCTCAAGTCAATTTTCCAAAATTCCTCTGTAGATATAAACTATTTGCAAGTCCTGAAGTCTTCCGGATACTAATAAAAATAAGTCAAGAATTTAAGGTAGATGAATGGTAGGAATAGCACAACGTCTGCATTAATTCCTTCTAGGTTGTCACTCCAGAAAGCTTTTCACGCGACTCAATCTCATTCTTTGTCTCCTGTGTAGTAAGTATTTCATAAGTCGGTTAATTGGGATGTGATATGGCCCGAAATATTTCGGCTTAGGGAGGAGGCTTAAATGAGATATCAAGCCAGATGTTTTAGTAGTGTTGATGAATACTTTATCAACCGGTAGCTTACTGTCCCTACATTCCACCAAATATTATGTAGTCATCAATAAGTTCTTTTATTGGGATAGGCTTGACATAAACCCAGGCTATCCTTCAGCCATTCAGTAGGATTTCTCGGGAACTTTTCCAATACCTTAGCTGCAGTGCGACTCAGGTTTACTGGTCAGTGTGTGGGTACTAGTCGCCTATTGCGCTCTCTAAAAATAAGGCTTACAACCTTGTCTGTCTAACCCCTAGGTAACCTAGACATTGTGAGTATCTTTGCTGGAGGTATGCAAATCGTGTCAGCTACAGGGAATAAGAGTCCAGATTGAAGACCACTAGGACTCTTTGATTGATATAATTTTAAGTTTTTAGCATCCTGAGCGCCGATTAACTGCCACTATAACAGAGCATTTGCGTGGCATCGACAGTAGAATCACCAACCCCTGAGTATTGTAAACGGGTAGGAAAAACCATAGAAGTTTTCTAAAACGTTTGTGTCCTTCACTACGTGTTTCAGCCGTCCCATATATGTCATCTTTGAGAAGAGGTACTCCGCTGCGTATCTTAACATTGCTTTCTTTGAAGAAGTATGGTTCTTCAGGAAAGTTGAAGCAGTGCGGTACTAACTGCCTGTAACATTCTAAAAGACTTTTTCGGATAATAAAATAGCAGCGGTCTTGGATTTCTTAGTATTCTAGTTGGGACTTCTCACTCCCTATCATATCATACTGGTCCCATTGCCGTATTCTCTACCTTCATAATCTCTAATTTTGTGTTTATCTAAGGGATTACATGAGATGACTTTCCATATATATACTAAACTGCAGGATATGGTGTAAAACATCTAAATACAGAACTAAATCCCACCCATGCTTCGCCAGATGTGCAGTAAGTGCTGACCGGCCAGTCAGCTGGAGGTTCTGTGTTCCTATCTGCTAAAATTTTTACTTGCAAACATTTTAGACACGGAGGTGTCAAACCGTTAGTGAATTCATGGGTGTCAAATGAAAATGTGATGGCTTCATGGTCATCGCATTCCACAGGCAGAGAGTACCTAATGTTACCTACTAACTCTTTCTTGTATGCATCTACCAAGTCCAATGCAGAGTAGTGGTGCCTCGGTTCACATGGTTTGGAAACATAAACTCACAAAACTTTCCCTTGGTAAGTTTCACAATATTGCAGTTAGGTGAAACAAGTTGTTTTTACTCTATACAGATGTATGACAATGTTTTCAGATGGTTAACAAAGTTTGATCTGTTATCCTCTTTTATCAGAGGAACATTTATCAGATGCAGTGGCATAGATCATCTTAAGTTCTCAGGTAATTATATAACTTTCCGAGGGATGATAATTAGTAAAATGTCACATTGTTCACTAAAATAACAGGATACATTGATCAAACAAGTCAAGCTGGCTGCAAGCGAGGTATACTTTGATATTTGTGTGGCTCACCAATATTCCCATGTTTATTGGAATGTTGGAAAAAATAACTATCACAATTCTGCAAGTATTTAAACGAGTGAATAACAGGGGTAGCAAATTTATTTCTCATTTCACAAGAGTAAATTAAATGTAGCACAAAACTTTCGTGAGTGTATTCAGTAATTCAAGTAAAATGTAAATGTAAAATTATATTTCAGTAGTTTACAAACGCTTTAATTATATTAGTGAGTAACTTCTTAAAGGTTGAGGTTCATTGAGAAACTGATTAACTCAGATGGTGTCTGTGGGTGTGTCAAATATGGTATGATATCTAGCTTCATTTGCATGGTATTTTACAGAACACAATCACTGTATTTATGTGCCAATCAACAGCTCAAAGCAGACTACTGTAAACCATATATTGTTTTACTGCTAAGTTCAGCCAATTAGTAATTCCTGTGAGTGTTTATTTCAACATTCTGTTTGCATACAATGGTCTCAATCCTAAATTTGTGTCTAATCTGAGCAGTGGGTGAAAATCCTCACTTCGAGTCAATCTTTATAGGTTGCAAGTTGTTGAGAAGGTGTTATTACTAAAACATTTAGCAGTTATGTATAAGATGTGTGTGAGCATTGCTTTGACCGAAGTGGCTTTTTCCTTTGTAAATCACCGTAAGGATATTGTGAATGTTTAGTCACTCGTATCAGTCTTCAGTGACTGGAACATTATAAAATTTCATTTAGGTGGTGAAAAATTCTCATTCATAAAAAGTTATCTAAAGGATGTATAGCGTAACGAAGTGATTTTATAGCTTTGGCGAATACATAATGATTAATTCAAAACCAAATAATTATTCGTTCCTATCAAAAGGACTATTTTGGTTAATATTCCTGATTGATATTAAAATGTGTCCATTTAAGAGAAATTGTTCTATTACTTGATAAAAATGATGCTTTTTGTCTGGCAATAAAGTGTTTACTCGCTAGATGATTACCTATGGAGTTCGGCGAATATAAGATGCTATCTAATATATTCTCATCTAGAATCGCTCTGTGCTTAAACTGCTTGGATAGAATTATTAAAACAGTTAATTATTTAATAAAGTGAATCTCATCTACCTAAACATTAACTTGTTTTGAACTGAAATAATGTAAGCTGATCTGGCTATTCAGTTAATCTATATATTATTTTTCACCTGAAAGGGTTGTACTGTTTGATTTCTAGTTTGTCTGTCTCATCCACATCTTTTCAATCTATTTAATTGTACCATATTTTAGTGTATCTAAAACTAGAATTCTTATTAAACCTTCTTTGTAACAAATACCAAAGAGTAGGGTGTACCACTTTTTATCTTCATAGGTTGATATTGCTTATATTTCTGTGAATAAAGTAGAATTCTTGAAGTTTATGTAAGGCATACCACTGTTATTTAGTTATGGTGAGCGAAAAAAGAACTAATATTTTATTTCGCATAGGTTTTCATCTATTTAGTCTTCCAAATATGGAACCTTTATATTGAGAAACCTCTTAACAAATCTAGTTGCTGTAATCTAACACAGTAAGAGTAGTAGCTTACGGCTGAAGGTCTCAGGTTTAAATGACGGAGAGGTGGGCTACCTCTGAATTACAGATATATCTTGTTTGTGACTGCCAGTCAGCACGAAGAACGGTAAACCGACCTCTGATATGAAGTGTACAAAACAGACACCGTTTTTGCAGATAAACATGAGATGGTTTATCGTTTTTCAGCAAATAATCTCATTTTTACTAGGTAAGGTGTATCAATGTTAGTTCGTCACTCGGTGAGGAGAATGAGCTCTGTAGTTGAAAAGCTTTGTAATAAATTGCAATTCTTCCCAAAACATTTTAAAAGCACTTCCTCCAAAAGACTACAGTTCTACAACTGATAACATGAAATAAATTTCATTCAATGAAAATTTGATTCGGAAGGGTCGAAATTCCATTCCGTTAAATTTCAGCG